TGTGTTGTAAAGAAAAAAGATAAAGTGAAGCTAATTAACATACTTATAAATTTGATTCTCAATCCACCGAACTTACAAAGTTTAAATATATTTCTTCATTATTTTTGTTATATATCACTTCAGAAAAAATAACTTGGACCACATTGCATAATGTTGAAAATTTGAAAAGTTATGAGAAATTCTTTATTGCACAAGTGTTCTATTAGATCTATTTTTTTTTTTTTTTTTTTTTAGTGACTTATTTATTTTGGTTTTATTGGATTATTTATTCCCACATATTTATTGGGCTTCTTTTGTGCTATATTGGGTCTATTTAATTTGGCTTTGGCTTATCTAAGCTGATTTTTCAGCATATTATGATTGTCCTATTCTTAATTTCTTATGTGCTTACATAGCATGTCTTTACATATTTCATAGGCGGTGAGCATGATTCGCAGTTGCGGTGTAATTAATTCAGACGAATATCGGTGTAAATTGACTGATTCATGAAACTGTATATTAATATAATTTTTTTTTAAAAACTAGAATAACAAATCGATCAATACATTACGTATCAGCCAATACAATAAATCATAGTGACCAGATAAAGACTTAGTACACTTTTTGTGAACACGCTTTTAAGAAGACATTTAGCTGAGAGCTTGTGATTCAAGTCCTTAACAGAATAAATTGCATCAATAGATGCATTTAAATGGGACCCAACATACATCAATCAATGTAAGATTATCCGCTGAGGATTTTAGTTGAAATCATCTTGCCATTTAGCAATTTTTTTTTCCAGTAAATAATAAAAAATGTTAAATGGTGCCAAAATTTTAAATTATATATTTAAATTGGTCTATGCATCAGGAGTACTCATAATTGTTCTTTCCAATAATTATCATTATCAGTATCAGCCAAATTTTATGCCACACAAGGATAGACACAAATTTGCCTAAAGTTGGCAAAGGACTAAATAGGTTGGATACGGTCTGAACAAAGCTACCAGTACTCAAAGCTCGGTTTTTTTTTTTTTAACTCGGCAAAAAGAGGATGGAGACTCAAACATAGGTACATTTTTTTTGTAAAGCTGAACAATTTATCAATTAGGTCACTTAATGCTTCTTCTTTTTATTTGTTTATTTTTTATTATTATTATTTTTTTAATGTAGGCGTTTGGTCAATTCTAATAATTGTTATGGATAATAGGTTGACCTCTAGGTACATTGACATTTAGGCTTTTAGGGTTTGAAATTTTCGATTTTAGAATTTGGGGCTAGCTGTCGCGTGGATGTTAATCAATGGGCTGGTTATGTTAAGAACCGTCCAGCCCATACCTACAATCAATCCAGAACCAACTCATAGGCCTTTTAAGAAAGCTCCGAATTTGAACCACATTGACATAAATACCACACAAATAAACTTGGCAAAGTGAAGTGAAGAGAAGAGAAAGAATGCTTATGCAAAGACTTCACGACGTATCTGGCCGTATTTATATGAATTTGGTTATATTTATGTGAGTTTCTTTGTACAACTCAACCGAAATTTTAAAGTGACTAGTGAGTTAGTTGATTTTTTTACTATTTTATAAAAAAGGCTTTTTTTTCAAAAACGGTCTCCTTAGCATTACTTTCGAAAATGAATCTTTCTATTTTTTAATATTTCTAAGAAATAAACTTGGACGTATACACACACAAATAAACTTGGCAATGTGAAGTGAAGAGAAGAGACAGAATGCTTATGTAAAGACTCGCTTTAAGACGTATCTGATTGCATTTATGTGAATTTTGATGCATCTGCTTATATTTATGTGAGTTTCTTTATGCAACTCAACCGAAATTTTAAAGTGACTAGTGAGTTAGTTGATTTTTTTACTATTTTATAAAAAAAGGCCTTTATTTTAAAAAACTCTCTTTAACATTACTTTCGAAAATGAATCTTTCTATTTTTTAATATTTCTAAGAAATGAGAAGAGAAAATTAAAAAAAATCTTGTTCCACCCTTTTTCAGCCAAACTGTATAAAATAGAAACTTCATTTTAGATTACAGAAAAAGAAAAAAAAAAAAATGAAAAATGAAAAAGAAAGGGGTTGGTTTTTTTGTTGTTCTCTTGCCTTGAGGAAAAAAAAAAAAAAAAAAAAAAAAAAGAAAAAGAAAAAGAAAAAGAAAAAGAAAAGAAGAAAAGAAAAGAGGTTTTTTTGTTGTTCAAATAAAAGGTGTTGGCAATTTATTGAGATTCGAAGGAAGTTAAGCCTTCCCTGGTCAGGACCTTCCTATTGGTGAGACACCTTCACATGCCATTAATGATTAATGCCCATGATTATGACATCACCATACCCACCTCAAGGTCATTTTTTTTTTCCCCCTAAAATGGAAAACATTTTGAACGTGGTCCTAAAATTTCTGACCTTATTTATATTATTAATTAGTGAAGGTAATAGAAAAATCTGATGGCAACATCGTAGCATTGTTAAACCAGCAGTTGTGAAGTCAAGTCTCGTGTTGTTCGAGTAGTTGGATCGATATTTAATTTTAGAAATTTGTGTTATTGTGATAATTTATGTGAATGAGTGCGAAATACTGACAGAGTTATAAGTGTAAAATTTTACATTGATCGGTTAAAAAAAGACAAATTCTATATGTAGATTCAAAAGTATTTCTATAAAATAACACATTTTAAAAACGTAATAACTGCAAACTCATCAAAACTCTAAAATTAAACATGTTTAATCTAAAGTAATACCAAAATACGCAAGTAGAATGAGAATTGTTACATCAATAGCTATAAAACAAATACCGTGCTATTTGGGTAATTGAATTATCCCTCGTTTCATTCTAACCTTCCACACTCCTCCTCCTAAAAAATCTCAAGGGGTGCCTTTTTCGGCATTCCTGTCATTCAAAATAATTGCCAAACATAAATCCTTTTTATTTGCCTGACATTTTATAGTAGGCCAGGCCTCCCACATGCAAATTTATTTCAGTGTTTGGACTGCGTATCCAACTAACCCATAAAATACATCCTTTGTTATATTACTGTGGGTAAAGTGAATAAAAAATACCTTAAATATTTTAATTTTTGGCTCTATTATTTATTTTGGGTATATAATTTCCTCAAATTTGAAAAAAAAATAAGTAGAAAAAGGTTTAAAGTCATTGTTAAGATAAAAAATTCTAAAAACACCTTAATATTTACATTTTAGGCAAATAACACCCATATCCTTTATTTTGAGTATGTAAGTCCGTTTAGTTTGAAAAAAAAAATGTGACAAAATAGTGTTTTATATCATTGTTTCGTTAAAAAATTATTCATGTGTATTACATATGACATTTTTAAGATATAAAATTTTAAAAATACCTTTATCTCTTCCGATAATGTCCTTATATATATATACACACATCAATCATATTTAATTAGTTTTTTACTTAATTTTTATTTATTTAGTTATAGAGCGATAATTTAGTGTTTTCAGAATTGAATGTTAAAGATGTTTAGAACGTATAGGAAGTTTTATACTCTGTATGCATATTATAAGGATATTTTTTGCCTGCAACCCTATATTATATATATATAAGAGGGACAATTTAGTTATTTCACATTTAGTTAGTTTTTTACTATTTTTTTATTCAGCTATAAAAGGACACTTTAATTTTTTCAACATTCGGGTTCTTATTTGTTCCAAAATTCAATGTTAGGAACATTTTAGAATGTATAAAGAGTTATACACTCTATATATATATTATAGGGATATTTTTCGCTCATGACCCTACTATATACTCAAACTCATGGTCCAAAAAACTTGAACTTTTTAAAAAAGGAAAAATAAAAATAAAATATAAAACAATAACAATAACAATAAAAAAGTAATTTTATAATACTCCCTCAATTCCTTATTTGTCAGTTTTTGTTTAGATAGTTATAGTTACTTAGTTTGAATTTTTTTGAAAATATAAAGAATAGTATGAAAAAATAAGGTCTATTAATTTTAACTTTTTAAAGTAAACAATTAATTTAAAATATTTTAAAATAAGATAATAAACTATTAATATTGAAAAAATATATATTAATAAAGAGATGATAGCATATATGTTGATCTCACTAACTGTATATGGGGACAATCTGTATATACAGAGAGATATATACGGAGTATATGACAATCCATTTGTGGAGCAGCGAAGGTGCAAAGAAAGAGAATGACAGGTGAGCAGAAAGGACTGACAGATAAAGGCAGTTGTCAGAGTGAGTAATGATTGAAAGGTTGGTGTTTTCCACGTTAGCTCCAACACAATTGGAAGAAGAGGATCCAAGGAACTTTATTTAATTTTTAATTTTAATTTTTTTTTTTCCTTGATAACTCACACAAATTTGTTCACTTGAAAAAAACCACTAAAAATTGTAAAATTCAGTATTAATTTTATTTTAATTTTTTAAAATTTTTTAAACTCTTTCTTTTTTTTTTTTTAAGAAAAAAATAATGTCTAAGAAATTTTCATGCTTACACTAATTATGACTTAATTATATATAACTCTTATGACATGAAAGAGATTATATCATCTAAACAACTACCGTTAGTGCGTGTGTGTGTCTATATATATATATATATGTCACCGAATTACACTTGCATATAAAATTAGCGATTTCCATCTCAAATTTGACCCATTGTTGAATCTAGCTGCTTATATATATATATAATATAATATAATAAAATTTGCATGAACTGAAGTGATATTTGTCATTTCAGATTTGACAGAAAGTGGACCTACTATATTTAATAGTATTTATCTGTTTTCCTGAATGTGAGCTGGTTGTTTCTTAAGTAGTTCCTTTATCACCGACCTTTCACCTTTCAAGCACTTGTTATGTAAGTGAGCATTACCTCTTCTACTGGTTTTATTTTATTTTATTTTATTTTTTTTCAATTTTGTGTTACATTCCAATCATTTATTGACAAAGAATAATTTCAATTTTCAACAAGTTTCAGTTCTGATTTTTTTTTTTTTTTTTTTTCCATTTCTTGTATGCTCTGTTTTTTGACAACCCTTTTCAAGCTACTCTGCTACATTTCATTTTTTTTTTTTAATATAACATGGAATTTTTAATTTTTAATTTTTTTTTATGCCTCTGTAGGGTTGTGAAATTTGTGAGAATTTTGATGTTGGATTTAATGGGAATCCGGATTTTTAATATATGATCTAAATTAACAAAATCAAAGTCATGGGAGAAACATGGTACACATTGCTTTAATCTTCTTGAAAAATTAGGTGACAATGAATCAGAGTAGTTGAAGGTGCTTTTATTTTTGTTCTTGGTAAGGTGAAGATGCCTTTACCTTTTTATTCATATTCTTATTTTTAATTTGATTTTCAATGCTTTACTTTAGTGGAGAAAGACATCTGCATAAACTTTGTTGAAATTATTTTAAAACCATTTGAACGAAAAAAAAAATTATTCTTCCAAATTAATTGCTTTAAGCTTACATGGAACATAAACTTTCCAACTCAACTTTAAAGTTTGTTTCTATATATTTTCATTTTTTATTTTTTAAAATTTATTTCAGTTGTAGGAGGAATTCAGTGGCCATGTTTCAACAATGACACTTTGAGTGAAGCCTTGCACTAAGCTGGTAAGGTAACTCAAATGGATCCTTCCTCTTTAATTTGTGTGTGTGTGTGAATTTCATGGTTTTCCTTAATTTGTGTGTGTAAAACATGTCAGGTGTGTGTTTCAAAAGTGTGAACTTCTTCTTCTTGTAAGGGTGAATTTCATCACTTATATAAATACATTTCATTATTACAGTGTATATAGAGAAGTTCCAGAATGGGATTCTTCAGTTTGTTCGTCGTGGCATTGATGCCGGTCCTGGAAACACTGTTGATCACTGCTGTCGGCTTATTACTTGCACTGGAACGTTTGAACGTCTTGGGGCCAGTTGTAAGGCATAATTTGAACAATGTGCGTCATCCATCATCCCAAATCTTTCTGTTTAAGTAGTAGTAGTGTAGTGAAGTTTTAAATCTTAAATTCGGTTTTCGTTTTTCTTCTGACTATGCCATTCTCCGACAAGGGATTAGTATTTCACTCGAATCATTTTCGAATTCCATGTCAAATTTGTTAGCATTCTTTCGGTTTTCTGCAACTTTTCTAGGTAATAATAAGTTTACCTTCAACAAGAGAGAACTTTATTCGCCTTTTTGTCTCGAGGTAATGGGAGAATCAAATACTGTATATGTTTCTGCAGTTGGTGCTAGCATTGGAAGTTAAGCAAGGAATAGGTTTCACCATTCTTTTCGAGTTTTAGAACAATTTTATTAAAAAAAAAGGCCCTGCCATGGTTATGCTCTGATGGTTGATTCTAATTCTATCACTGCTATTTGTGTAATTATCTAGATTATCTCTTAATTTTTGGTTACCATGACTGGAGTTCATTCTTGGAAGCTATTTTGGTGACTATATGTATATATGTGTGTGTGTGTGTGTGTTTGTACTCTGGAGAGAGAGTCTATAAATTGTTTTTATTTTTATTTTTGAGGGGATAGATTCCCCCTGCAACTTCCTGGAAGCTACACACAGTGACCCACACACAGACTAACAAGGGTACTTCACTTCATGATTGTGAACAGCTTGTATTCTATGTGTTCACTCCTGCACTTGTGGCTGGCAACCTGGCTGATACAATTACAGCCAGCAGCATAGTTTCTTTGTGAGTTAGCTTCCTGTTAACTCTTTAATTTCTTTCAAATTTTTTTTTTTTGGGTACGTAAATCACATGCGCACACACATCCCTATATGTCCCCATTGTGGACTCGAACTCTCAATAATCTTCCATTTGGGACAAGCCCTTGGCAAAATGAACGAAAGCCGATATAATGTGATTTGGAGGGATTGTGTCAGAGTTCATCCTTGTGATTTGGAGGGCTTGTTTCAAAGTTCATCCTTGTGATTTCACTTTTATTGATCATATAGGTGGTTCATGCCAGTCAATATCCTTCTCACATTCATTATTGGTTCAGTGCTCGGATGGATTCTTGTAAAAATCACCAAAACTCCTCCACATCTACACGGCCTTGTCATCAGTTGCTGCGCTGCAGGTAAGATACAAATCTTATAAAGTTTTCCCTCCAAAAAACTAAATTCTGATTCACTTTTACCATATAAATTCACAATGACTCTTTAAGTACTAAGATAAAATGTAATGAATAAAAATGGGAGAATTACTGAGAGATGATGCGTTGTTTCTTTTCTTTTCTTTTCCCGGAAAATATAAGAGTAAATGAGTGCATTATGTAACAGCTACAGCTATTCCTCCTACTGTAAATGGAGTGAAAAGATTAACATTTTTGGGAAACAATAATTCCGAAATGAACTTGTCAACTACAACTTTGTTGTGGGGTTGATCTGGACAGGAAATTTGGGGAACTTGCTTCTCATCATCATCCCAGCAGTCTGCGACGAGGCAAATAGTCCATTTGGAGATTCATCCACATGCTCTACAGATGGAGAGGCTTATGCATCCCTCTCTATGGCGGTAAATATCTATGTTTCTGGTCATACAACTAATTCTCTAAATAAAAAGCCTCTGCTAAACCTCTCAGATTGCCTGTCACTTTGAAAAATATTTAGGAGAGAGCTTCAACCGGTGCACGAATAGATTCTTTACCAAGTCTCAATGAATCTAATGACATGGGATTCTTGTTTGTTTACTTCAGATAGGAGCTGTTTATATATGGTCTTACATATATAATATTATACGAGCATATGGAAGTAAGAGCAACACAGACACTGATATAAATGACCCAACGAATAGCATTAAGTCTTCTGTTGGAACCTCAGAAGTCTCAGAGAGCAACACTGAAGCATTACTTTCAAAGGATTCCCCAAGGTCCGAGGACTATGAAGCTCAAGCTGAACTAATGCATATTGGATCCGAGGACAAAGTAAATGCCTTTCATCTATCTTTCATATCTGTGAGAAATTTTTTCTTATTTCTGCTTTCTTCTCATTATGGCTATGAGTTTTTTTGATATAACAGATCATGATTATTTAAAAATTATGAAATAATTATTGCTGCTCTGGTTTGGTTGGGATCAAGTCTTGTAATTTTCCATCATAATATACTACAAAAATATCATAATTGTTACCAGAATAACAGTTATATCTAGTTACATATATCTATATAATATAAATATTAGAACAATCAAAGGTCATGTACCTGTTTAATGTCATTGCTGTTCTTTGTAGTGTCCTTAAAAACTCTGTTTTAATATCAAAGCAATTAAGAGGACATATTTAGGTCTGAAAGGAAGTTGTCTGAATTGTATCAGAGCAATGGAATTGTTCTTTTTTCCACTTTAATCCTTTTATAAAAGGCGAGAATAATTATATCATCTAATTTTTCATGTTTGTTGTATAGAGTATTTCCGAGATAATATGATTGAACATTCATTACTGCTGTAAACCTTTTAACAATCTTTTAACAGGTTTCAATTTTCAAGAAGATTAAGGACAACATTAAAATTTTTGCTGAAAAGATCAACTGGAAGATGATCCTTGCACCCTCTACCATTGCAACGGTATGATCATAGTGTTGCATATTATGCAATTTTTACAAGCTTTTACTGCAAATCCAGCAGTTTGTCTATTTCTTCCCTCGAAGCAACTTTATATGACTTAGAATAGAAATGATATTATTTTTTAAGCATTGGAGGGTACTATCAAAGTCATTTTGAAATCGTTTTATAGGTGACTTAGTTCAGTAAACCTTAAAAACGACTATGAACTCTATCATTAAAGAAGTTTAGATGAAAAGGTCCGAGAATATATGATGGAATAGGACCTTATCACCTATCTACATTGTGGTTTTAGTAATATGAAAATTTATCAGAACTAAAGTTTGATGCTAACCTGTTCTCTCATTACAATCTTGTTCTCTGTCACAGATTGTTGGGCTTTTTGTCGGTGTAGTCTCTCCAATACGAAAGATAATGATTGGCGATAGTGCTCCACTTCGTGTGATTGAAAGTTCTGCATCTTTTCTGGGGTATCTCAATTTAGCTGCATCTAATCTCTAATTGTTCGTTTGATTGGCATATTTGTAACCTGCATTCATGCCGAATCAATGCTATCAATTGCATATATGATATCTCAAAAATGTGAAATGATCCCAACTTTTGGAGGAGACTAAGCGTAATATAGACTATTGTCCCAAATTTAGCAGAACTACGAATTTCAAATGCTTGCAACAGACTAGTACATGGACTTCTTTTTAGATCACAAAACAGCAGATTCACATGGTGTTTCACATAGTAACAAAAGGTCAGCACACATGAAAGTAATTCTTCCTCCCTTGTAGTAGCAGTATTAGTAATATGTGTGAATTCAGATGTTACGGTTAATGGCTTATTCCTCTCCATTATTCTTAGACTCATGATATCAACTATGCTAGTGCTTCTCTCTCTTTACCGCGCTTGATCTGCTGCAGGGAGGCAGCAGTTCCATCCATGACACTTATAGTAGGAGCAAACCTTCTTAAGGGTAATTCTTGCAATCCAAATTTGTTCACGCTCACCTCTCTGGTTTTGATCTTTGAAATGCTTCTCTTATTTTTCTTTCAGGTCTAAAGAAATCAGCAGTAAGCTACTGGGTAGTTATAGGCGTTCAAGTAGTCCGGTATATCGCCCTGCCTTTGTTAGGCATTGTTGTTGTTAAAGCAGCAAGTCATTTCGGCCTGGTGGGATCAGATTCTTTGTATCAGTTCGTGCTTCTGCTTCAATATGCACTTCCATCTGCAATGACCATAGGTATGGTTAGTTTGGTTGATCTTCCATTGTCTGCTCATGGCTTTCAAAACGCGTCTACACAGTTAAAGGTGTTAGCATGTATAAATGTCAAACAACCTCTCGATGTGGGACGTCACAAAAGTGCTTCTGAATGCACAAGCCTTAATAATGGACAGTGTGTGCGCGGAACAATTCCATGAATCATGACTGATAGGCATAAAAAAAACTTTGATCATAACAATTTCATGAATGAGAGTAAAAAAAAATCTTATTTATTATTTTTTTTAATATTATTTTTCTTATGTTTTCTTGGTTATTTGGCAGGTACAATAACGCAGTTGTTTGAGGTTGGTGAGAGTGAATGCTCTGTAATTATGCTGTGGAATTACGCCGTGGCGGCGATCTTCCTCACTCTCTGGTCAACCTACTACATGTGGATTGTGTCTTGAATTTTCACATTCTTGCATTTTAGTTTTTGACAATTGGCGTTTTCATCAAATTCATTTACAATGTGTGCTTGTTGAGAGTTGTGTTCCTGTTTTGTTTTTGTTGGCGGCAAAGGGGCTTTAAAGATTGTAATATTGATATATAGAAATATACTATATTGAATGTGAAAAAACAAATATATATACATATACTGAATTGAAGCATATATATATATATATATATATAATGAATATATGTGTGTTCCTGGATTTACATTGTCTCTCCCCCTGATTATTTTCAGTTAATGGGTAATGTCAATTTGGCAATTAATATTACAAGAGAAGATTAATGTGAAATTAAATTGTCATATTTTTATTAAAATAATTTGGAAAATTCTAGATCTTTTTAAGTAGAGAATTGTACAAAGGTAAAGGAAGTTTTAATTCTAACAATTGACCTTTTCATTTTAAGGATTCAACAAGAGAACTAGCTTGTGATAATAATAGAAAAGAAAAGTTTTACTTACAAGCATAGCATATATAGGATTGCAAACGAACTGAACTGCTAAGCAGTTCGGGCTCGTTCGTTAAGCAAACTAGCCGAGCTTGAGCTCAATTTTTAGGCTCGTCTACTAAATGAGCTCGTTTACTAAACGAGCCGAGTTCGATCAATGTTAGGCTCGACTTGTGTAGGCTTGTGAGCTCGAGTTCGTGTAAACTCGTTTATGTTCATGAACTCATATAAGGCTTGTATATGTTCGTGAACAATAGGCTCATTTACATCTGCTTTTTTATTTTTTTGTTGGAATCTTTTAATTTTTTGAAGTATAAAACAAAAATGTAATGATTTACTAAATGAGCCTAGCGAGTTTGCAAACGAGCCTAAGTAAATTTTGAACATTAGTTTAATTTAATTTATTAAACAAGCTGAGCCCGAGCTCTTTAATACCATGACGAGTCCTAGCGTGAGCCCGAGTTGAGATTTTTGAACTCGTCATGAGCCCGAGGCCGAGGCCGAGTTGAGGTATAAACCAATAGAAAATTATTGCAGATACATAGTGGCAATAGAAAATTATTTTTTTCCCTCAATTACTTTAAATTTATATTTCACAATACTCATCCTTCAATTCAAATGCACATAAATATCATTACTCATTTATATATTGAAATATGTTAATCAAAGTCCGCAAATGTCGATCTTTCGCCATTGGATAGCTAGGTCCCACAATAGGGTCCATGTGGGGTCTATGCGATCCGACGGCTGAAAACCAGCAATAGAACTGCAGCAGCTCCCCTTATAATATACGGAGTATATGTATAAATATGTATATATATATATATATATAGAGAGAGAGAGAGAGAGAGAGAGAGAGAGAGAGATGGGGCCAAACTCTTAACGCTCTATGTCTACTTGTCCACACACAAGGGTGTTGTACTTGTACCCCATAAACATACTCGCATACCTTCCTTCCTACTCTGTCTTTTCTTCCGGTTTTTTCAAACGTTCAAACTTCATGACCGTTTTTTGGCGCTTCAAGCAACCATCATCCTCTACTCTAACTTAATAACTTGTTTGGTTTTGCAAAATCACTTCAATTGAAAAAAGCTCTTCTGATCAAAACAGTCCCTAGTGGTTTCTTCTCCATGGTAGCTTTTAGGCTTTGCTATTCCCAGAAGTGAAATTAACTTTTCCTTTCTCTCTCTCTCTCTCTCTCTCTTTCATGTGTTTGTTCATGCCTTGTATGTTTATATTTTCTTTGGCATTAAGGAACTATCTAATCAAGATTAGCCATCAATTATTATGCTTATAAAATGATCACAACTGTCTTAATTGAGTTGTAATTTCTTCATCAATTACCTGACTAGTGATACAGAAAGGATTCAGGTGAGATTCTTCTTCATCTTCTCCCAAATATATACATATACATGCCTGTGTATGTGTTATATACATCTCCTTGTGCCTTATGGTTCTTGGGTTCTTCCTACAAAATCATTATATTTTCTCTGCTTTCTGCGGCACATTTATTTATTTTTCGAAAGTTCAAGTAAACGCGCGCGCGCACACACACACACGATATTAGCAGACTCGAACACTCAACCTCCCATTTTGAGAAGATAGAGCATACCATTTGGGCTAATGCCCATTGGTAATTCCGCGGCACTTTTACATAACTTGCTTTAAAGTTACATGGAAAAAGTGGAAAGCTTTGCCTACTTCATGAAAAGAAATGTTATAGGATTATTGCTTTGGCTCATTGTTTGAAATTGTTTTCTGTTGAAGTAGGAGTGGAATACCTGAAATTCTGAAGGCAACTTAACAAATGGGGCTACTGGAGCTATTTTCTGTTGCCTCTATGCCTGTTTTGAAAGTACTGTTGGTGACTGCACTTGGTTCATTCCTTGCTTTAGATCATGTAGACATATTGGGAGATGATGCAAGGAAGCATTTGAATAGAGTAAGTCGTTATTTTTGGCATTTTGGCTTCTTAATCACACATTTCTTTTACGTGGGCCAACCTTGGCGCAATGGCAATGTTGCTCCATTGTGACTTGGACATCATGGTTCGAAACAAAAAATAGTCTGTTTGTACACAGAGATTAGGTTGCGTACATTTAACCCTCCCAGACCCCACAATCACGGGAGCCTCGTGAAATGGGCTAGCCCTTTAATCACATATTTCTTTTATGGTTCTATAATGCCATGGCCCATGGAGCCTAATCAAACAAATAGAGACAACAAAGTAACTAATTTTTTCCCTAGATTTTGATGAACTAATAGAAACACTTTCTTCTTTTTGATCAGGTTGTTTATTTTGTGTTCAATCCTGCACTTGTTGGTAGCAACATTGCTAGAACAATTACACTTGAAAGCATTGCCTTGTTGTGAGTTTAGTTTTTGTTTGACTCCAATTTTAGTTTATTTTTCCTTCTCTAAACTTATATATAATTCAACTCTATATGAAATGTGCAGGTGGTTTATGCCCCTCAATATTCTTATCACGTTTATAATTGGCTCAGCACTTGGATGGTTACTTGTAAAAGTCACAAGAGGTTCTCAACATCTAAAAGGCCTTATAATAGGTTCATGTGCAGCAGGTAGATTCTCTATGTTGCTAATATTAACAGAAAAGGAAACAAGAACACAAGCAAGAAAACTGATTTAAGTGATTCACCCAATTTTTGGGCTATGTCCATGGAAGGCTACATAACAAGTATAAAAATACCAAAACACCCCCGAAAATGGGGGGTAAGATGTACAGTATTGTCACGCTCCACATTTCATATAAAGTGAAGGTGACTAATTATTCTTGAAGGGCTTGTTAGATATGGTAGTGCCTAGTGCTGTAATGAGAGTGCTTGATTTCAGATCAAATTTTCATGCCCAAACAACATACCTGTATCAAACTATTGAGGATTATGCTCATGTCCTCTTGGCTCTGTCAAATCGACACTTTCCTGTAGCTCCTGTAGGTCACCTGATTGACGAGTTCCTGTATATTCGCTTCCTCTTCAGCTGTAACGTCTACTTGGCTTATTCCACTTCCATTGTCAACAGTCGGCTCTTTTGCTAAAAGGACCATGTTATTCTGCAGAGTATCATCAAATACTGCCCTTAGATCTATATATGTCTGTAAATAGAATTAATGCAGTAATAGAAGTGCCACATACTTGAATTAGGAACCATTTCATGGATCCTTTGAATACAACAATTGAGAGTTTTCTTGGTTGATGTAAACAGGAAACTTGGGACACTTGCCTATAATAATAATCTCAGCAGTATGTCGAGAGAAAGGCAGTCCATTTGGAGCACCTGAAGTTTGTTATACGTATGGAATGGCTTATGCTTCACTTTCAATGGCGGTATGTATTTAGTAGCTTCGTTTGATACTGATTTTGAAATCACTGAAGTGATGAGGAATTAAAACTTTATATACTCGATATGAATTGCTCGATCATCTATTAAAATCTTGCACCAATTGATCGCGTTATTCACCACTAAGTTCATTACCTATGCAGTCCATCAGCTGGTCATTGTTATGCAGAGTGTGAGAACTAAAAGTTTTTTGTTGATATAACTATTTCTTTATTTTCTATGCCAGATAGGAGCCATTTATATATGGACTTACGTTTATAATATCGTGCGGTTGTCCTCAATAAAGATTATTCAAGAACTGGACATTGACGACTCCACTAGCAATGATGAATCTACAGGTGAAACGTCAAAAACGTTCCATGGGAGTTGCGCAGAATTGCTTCTTCCTTCGAAAGTTACTCTGCCGGGCGCTAAAGCTGATGGAAAAGCTAAGGTCCTCCCGCCTTTTCCTTTACTAGAAACATGATGTCCTATGATTTGGAATAACTATTTCCCTTTCTTTCATTTCAGTATTCCTCTATTAATCAGAATATTTGGTCTTCAAAATTATCTACTTATAAAAAAATCCCTAAATTCAACAGTCTCAACTCCGTAAAAGAAAATAAATAAACACGACTACTAAGACCACTGAATTTCTGCTTATTACTTCTTTCTCAACTCTTATTTGAGGTAGAAAAAGCAGGAAGAAAAGAAAAATTAGTCGATGGAGATCTCGTGAGAGAATAGAGGGGTATCACATCTATATTGAGTTAAGAACTATTTTTATCAATCCAAAAATTCACATCTATTAAGAAATACATTCATATACCATGTGTATATAGAGGAAGAGTATATAATTGTTCATGCATTTATGGAACTAGTACATGCAGGAAGATACAGATTATATTTCGTAAACAATGTGACTGACATTCAGGGAATAGCTTATTTATCATAAACATTCAACATCGATTGTGAGTTAACAATTTAAAGAGATTCATGGCAGGTGCTAATCTTGGATAAGGCTAAGCAATTTATGAGGATGTTTTTGAGGAAGACTAATCTGAAGGCACTACTTGCACCTTCAACTACTGGAGCGGTACGCTTATAGTGCTTATTATTCCAATACAGTAACTTCTTTGGAAATTGAAAAGAGCATGGTCTACTGCTTTCATTTCTGTCATATATTAGTCCTACATATTCTATGCAATATCCCTTTGTGTAATGCATTGGCTATCACCTGAGTGAGGCATTGCAAGTAGGAGAATGGCCTATGGGATGTGATGACTTGCATCAGTTGGAGGGTGGGCCTTGGTGCAATGGTAAGGTTGCTCCATTGTGACCTAGAGGTCACGGTTTTGAAACTGGGAACAGACTCTCCATATGGAGGTAAGGCTATGTATATTTGACCTCCCTAGACCCCACAATGGCGGGATGCTCGTGCACTGGGCTAGCCCTTTTTAGTTTTAGCCAGTAACTCTGCACTTATTCTTATAATAAAGAACAATGCATCATGTAATGTGAAAATGTCCTGCTGATGATTCTAAGCACTAAAGATCTTGCTGTCTTCTTGTGTAGATTGTTGGGTTCATCATTGGAATTGTCCCTTATGTGCGAAAGTTGTTGATTGGTGGTACTGCTCCTTTTCATGTGGTCCAAGGCTCTGCTTCCTTGCTCGGGTATACATATATTTTACCTTTGCACTCTGCTTTTGTCTTAGCTGAGGTTATAATTTTGTAATAGTAGAAATCAGATCAGAAACCAGAAAAATTTTTCAAGTAAAATCTTTTATGTATTCAATTCTACAGCAGGTGCAGCTAGATGGTTGTAGATGTGACGGTAGGGCATATACATATACTTTCAATACAACGACCTCAAGTACACCAAATAAAGTTCTCTCTAAATGTGATAGAATTCAGAAAACACGAACTTGGCCAAATCAATAAATCAGTATTTTGCCTCTTGAGGACATTTTACCTTTCTTAAGAAGAGGATGTTTATATAACTATTAGTGTTTGGTTGGTGACTTGGTGGTGCTATATCTCCTTCTGCACGAATACTTACCTCTATCACCAACTTCTTCTTGGCGGTGGTCTATCTCCTTCCACACGAATACTTGCCTCTATCACCTATGGGGACTTAAACCCTCACCATCCACTTTGGGGTTTATCGTGTTCCTTTCTATTTTGTAGGAATGCAGCCATCCCAACTGTTACCTTGATAGTGGGAGGAAACCTTCTTAAAGGTAATTATGACATTCTATTATAAAATGTATCTTGCTTTCCTACGAAGAAGAATCTTCAGTATATGCCATTTTTATTGTTATTTTCATTTTTTCAGGTTTTAAAGGGTCAGGAATTAACCTGCCACTCATTGTTGGAATTATAGCAGTTCGGTATCTTTTCCTTCCTATGCTTGGCATTTTCATTGTTCAAGGTGCAGTTCATTTTGGCCTGGTGCACTCGGATCCATTGTATCAGTTTGTTCTTCTACTGCAGTATGCACTTCCACCAGCAATGAACTTGGGTATGAAAAGTAAATTTTGGCGGTAAATGCATTATTGGTCTGGTTTGGAAGACTCATATCATTTTTCAATATTAAGCTTGATTTCAATCATTCCTCAATTTTTTTTTGGGTAACTATCTCTATATCTATTTTAAGTCAATTCACACTATTCATTTGAAACTCTAGTTAATTTAGTACCTGCAGGGAGGAGGTCAATGTTCAGGAGTCCTTGTTAGACACTCTCCTATGCTGGAGTGAGAGAGAGAGAGTAAATGACTAAATTATTACTATGTACAAAAGATACGACAGGTCCATACTGAATTAAAATACTAAGCAAACAAAGATTTTATGCTTGCATTGGAAAAGTGCATGTAATGTTAACTCAAAGCAAAGGTTGTCATTTGCATCAATTACTGCATAATGCATGAATTTCTAATAATGTGTGGTAGGTTCTACCCCTCCACCTCCAGCTAGCTACCACAAAACTCCAAAATCTGAAATTAACCCTATTTCCTTAATTTGGCAGGTACAATTACCCAATTGTTTGGAGCCGGCGAAAGTGAATGTTCTGTTATCTTGCTGTGGGCTTATGCCTTGGCATCAATCTCACTGACTGTTTGGTCAACCTTCTTCATGTGGCTGGTAACTTGATTAGATCAGGTGATGGAGATCGTGAAGTGTTTCGCACCTATGTCAGGCATAGGGACATTTTATTAGGGATATTAGAATGTTTACTTGTTATTTTAGTAATTATTGGGTATTTTATTTTATTATTGGGTTTGCCTATAAAAGGCCTTGAGGTAACAGACTTCATTAGTATTTTTTTTTTGCTTTGGAGATTATTGAATATTGCTTCATCTGAAATCTCTGCATGTTCTCTTCTTCTTCCATTTTCTGTTTTTGCTTTTCTCACCCACTCCATCTATCCAACCTATCTATTTACTCTGTTCTAACCCTCTTCCTCTGACTCCTCGTCACCGCCTTCTAATCTCATCTCTTCTTCTATTTTCTCACCCCCTGATTTCCTTCAGGTTCGTCATCATCAAGTGCTTGGTATCACGTGGCAATGCCTCATATCCTGTGTACTATCCTTTCAGTTTAGACAGTTCACATATGAAGATTAAATTACAATATGTATCTTATGAATGGTTTATGAAGTATTAGTAACTTTGGATAGTTTCTTTTAGTAATTTTGGATCGACTCAGAAGCTGATTGAAAAATGGAGGATGTTACTTGAGCCATGCTATTTGGGAAATAAAAAGCTAGAAAGATTCATTATTTGTCTGCTGTATGCAAAAGTATCATTTGTATTGCACTACTCTTGTTCACTGTCCCCTTTCACTTCTCTCCCAGAGTATACTGCAAATCAGTCCCTGTGAACATAGAGTCAATTTTGAGCTTTCTATTTGATTCTTTCATCACATGGCATAGCACACTGTCAGTGATCTGAACTCGAGCAAGGGGTGAATTGGGAAGAGATTTTGTAAGGGCAGTTGGCAAATTTTTATTTCTTTATTTATTTGTCTCGACAAATAATTCATACATCCACTGTGCACCATGGGGACTTGAGACCTCAGTTTTACTCCTTAGATGGTGAAGAAATACCATTATGCTAACATTTTTTTAAACGAAAAAGAAAAAAACCAGATGTTCTGCTATTGAAGGTGTTCATGGCAACTGTCAATTATACTATTAATCCATGAAATAAGACAGGAATTATATAAAAACATTTTTTTAACAAACTCTGCTCAATTTCGGAGGAGACACTGAAGGAGATGGCCTACCATATCCTTAATATATATATACTAGGAAAGAGCACGTGCAAATGCGTGTGCTTAAACAACAATGAAATCTTCAAACAAGAATAATATTGTTGACACGTAATTTTACATTCACAATAATATTTTAATTTTTGCTCATTTTAATCATTAATACAACAACCAAACCTAAAATTATTAGATCAAAACTGAGGCAAAAGAGACTAACCTTTTCAAGCTCTTCGTGAGAGGTTTTCATAATTTTTGTATTGCTTCAATCTCTCTCTCATACAATTGAGCCTCTCCCAAGAATTTCCGTGAATGTCTTTTCCATTCCTAACTTCGAGAGCTGATGTATCAGTCTTTGGCTTGCTATGTAAATACCAGGAAAGATCATTCAAACTATCAGTATATAAATCAACTACGTTAAAATAAAACACTGACACACATCTACTCATAGACAACGCTGCTTTGTTGTTCAGTGTATCAAAATCAGTATTGTCATAGTAGTTATTAACCGTGTACTCAAGGTCGTCGTTCTAAAACTGCGCCAGTATCCTACTAAAAAAATAAAAAGAATTAATTTTTAGATAAATTCGTGAATTAATATAAAAATAAGATAAAACATTTCTCACGAAGAGAATCAAGACCTCCTAAGTTAAACAATAATGAATGCCAACACAGTGGTTTTCAAATGAGATTCAAGGCAACATACATGAACAGAAATGAAGATACAACCACCGAACTAATTTCTCAAATATAATTGAAATTTAAATAGTCAAGCAAACAATTGGAACTGTCACTTGGTTGTTATCTTTAAGTTTTAAAAATTGAAATCGGGAAGTTCATTTGGTGTGCCCTCTTTACATTCCCTATTAAATACTGTCTTCAAATTTCGTATTTTGATTTAAAAAATAGTAAAAAATGGATAGAAATAACAAAAAAATAAAATAAAATAAAAGCCAAAATTTGTAAAGTAACTAGTTCAACATCGAACACTGGCATATTTTTTAACCATGGAGGAACACTAGCACAACATTCCAAGGCGACAGAGGGAAATCAGATACAATAGTTGAGTGCTAATCCTGGAGTATGCTTCCCGATAGAAACATACTACATTCACATCATATAAACATATTACATTCACCCCCCAGTCTCAATTGACAATGTTGCATGCTATGGTCCCACGAGCCTATAGTATTCAACTATTTTAGCTTAAAATTTTGTCAAGAAAGATCTTACAGACCAAAAGAGGCAGCAACTCTTCTAAAAGCTCACAACCCAAAGAATTAATACTGGTGTTTTTGCAAGCTAAGATATTGGAATCAGATATTGTGTCAGTGCAATGGATAATTCAGAACAAATTAAGGGAAATGGTGCATCTGATAATTCAGAACAATTTCTTCTCGTTCTGCAAGAAAATAACCTTTAAAATATGGGGATGGTTACAATATTAACATCAAGCAATTAAGTATATAGGAAAGGAGGGCATACCTTCACTGTACAAATTGTAAACAAGAAAGGAAAATGAAGTTGATGAGGTGCCATTCTTGAAACATCATGACAAACAAAGGCAGGGCAGATAAGCACCCGCTGTTTGGTAAGTTTCGGAGCTTTGAAACTCATTTCTCTTTGGTAAATTTCACCAAGCCGCCTTCCTTATCCCATCTAGTCAACCAGTTTCATACAAAACCCTTCGGCATTCTTCTTAAGTTCCCCAACGTCATCCAACTCAGGTTCTTTCCCTCATACTTCTCATGGAACAACAATGTCACCCCCAAAACATGAAGAAGATACTGATACAATCATCAATAGGCCATACATACAACACACTGCAAGGCCAACAATATATGAAACTTCCAGCTAACATGAGAAAACCCAATGGAGATCTCAGAAACTTATCGACCATCTCCAAAACTGACTGATCCAATCCACTATTATTTGATAAATTCAATAATAGGGTTATAGTACGGGCATCAGCAGTGAATCCTTTCTCAACCATTTCTTGAAGAAGTTGCATTGCCATTGAAGTCTCATCATTTCTAAGAAGTCCCTGAACAATTTTATTGTAAGTGAAACCATCTGGTGAGCAACCACGCTCTTCCATTTTCTTGAGCAACATGTTTGCTTCACTTAACAACCCTTCCTTACAGAGTCCATCAATCATAATAGTATATGTGTGAACATTAGGTCGCAACCTCTTGGAAGAAAGACTACAAAAGGGTTCCCTTGCAGCTTTTATGTTTCAAGCTCTGCACATACCATCAATATGGATGCTGTAAGCCACAATATTAGGATGCAGTCCACTTTCTTTCATCTCTCGAAACAAGGCCCTTGCCTCAGCAAGACATTGGTTTTTACACAGTCCATCTAACAAAGTACAGTAGGTTATCAAATTAGGATGTTGGCCACGGGCTCGCATCTCATTCAGAAGTTGTTGCGCAACTAGAGGTTTTCCTGCATGGCAGAAACCACCTATAAGAGTGGTGTAAGCAACAGTATCAGGAACCAATCCCATCTGAGAAATTTCGTAAAACAGTCTTAGAGCCTCAGTCATGTTTCGCTTGTTACAATATCCATTAATCAAGATGCTATAGCTATGAACATTAGGGGCACAACCCCTACCAACCATCAAATCAATTATCTCCTTTGCCTCTTTAAATTTGCTTTGTGAACAATATCCATCCATCAGTGCATTGTAAGTGACAGTATCAGGCTCCTCACCTCCTGGGTTCATCACTTCAACTATTTCGACTGCTTCTGAAACCTTCACTTCCTTACAAAGTGCATCCATCAATATAGTGAAGGTTCTTGCATCCAGATTGACTTTTCGGTTAACCATTTCATTCAACAATCTTGTAGCCTCTTTCCACTGTTTTGAAATGCATAGGCCAAGGATTAAGGTGGAGTAAGTGATAACATCTGGAGAAATGCCTTTACGGATTATTTCTGAAAAGAAGTTAAAAGCCTCAGCTATCTGTCTGTCCGTACAAAGACTGTCAATGATCATGTTATAAACATAAACACCAGTTACCTGATTTCTTTCTTCCATCTCCTTGATCAATTCAATTGCGGCGCCAGTGTTCCCTGTTCTGCACAACCCATTTATAATCGATCCACAAGTAACTGTATCAGGTTGAAATCCTTTGGCCACATGTCATTATAAAACTTTACTGCTTCACCTATTTTATCCAAAATACAGAGTCCCCTGATCAAAGTGGTGAGCTTTGCATGCTCCACTTCGTAACCAAGCTTCAAAGTTCTCCCCAAAACAGAGAGACCCAAATCGACCCGACTCAAATGGCAGTAACAATTCATTAAGATGCCCAGAGTATAAGCGTCTGGCTCTACCATTCCTGATGATTCCATTTGATTAAGTAACGGAATTGCAGTGGTGTAATGTTTCATTCTCACAATGGCCATTATCAATTTAGGAAACTGCACAATTGAAGGAAGAGGTCGCCTTTGAGACATTTGATCAAACAATGCCCGTGCATTGTGGAGGTTACTGAATTCAAATCCGCATTGGTTGCTAACAAACTTCACAAACCGGGCTCGACCACTCATACTGTGAGGTTTTTTTTTTTATCTTTACCACTTTGGGAAAGAAACGAAACCCTTAAATTGTCGCTGGCAATTGGAATCAATGAAGAAAATAAGACAATATAGAAGAGAGAGTTTTAGACTTACAAGGTGAAGCAGTAAAGTTGGATAAATAAGCGTCATTAGTATATAAAAGCAACTCTATATGCCTTAAATTGTCCACATGACTTTAATTACTTTTATAACTTCGGTATGGTGGATAAATTAAAAATATTTTAAAAATTAGTATATTAGATTTTGAATTGGGATTTTAAATTTTTTATTATCCCAATTCAAAAATAGAATGCTGGGCGTAATTTTTTGAGGGATTAAGGGAGTAATTTTTTGTTTAGATTTTTTATTTTGGAAAATTTTGTAATTTTTAGACAATTGTTAAGTATAATGTTAATTATTATTATTATTTTTCAAGACAATAAATGTTAAAAGTTAAATTAATAGATGTAGAGAGTCGGCACTCCAAAATCTATCGAAAGTGTAATGTTCATAAAATATATTAAATGTGTTGATAGTATTTGTGTACTTGTCGCTGCTAATTTTACAAAATATATTAAATGTGTTGATAGTATTTGTGTACTTGTCGCTGCTAATTTTACAGAGAGGGATGCCCGTGACTGTAGAATCTTAGTCGCTAATTGAGGGGTTAACGCATATGTTTTCATTCTCAATAATTAATTACTATTTTTCTGCTAACTTCCTTTTAGGTCTCTCATTATATATAATTACTATACTAGTCTCCTAAACTTCATAAACCTCCACGATTTCATCTCTTTAAAATTTTATTTTTTGCAAAATTCCATATCTAAATGTTTGAAGTTCCAACACTAAAATTTTATTTTTTACAAAAGTACATATCTAAATGTTTGAAGTTCAAATCTAAATTTTTTCAGATCCGTATTCTTTGTATTCGAAGTATTGCTCTAATTTTTCAAATTAAAAAAATAAAATAAAAAATTTATCATAAGATAAAAAGAAAAAAGTACTATAATTTTTTTTAGATTGTACTTTTTTTTTAATTTGATTTGATTTTTTATTTATTTGAAAAACAACCCAATACTTCGAAACAGAGAATAATGATCTGATAGTACGTTTTTTACAGATTTTTTTTTTATTTTTTTAATCTGAAACCTTCACGGTTCCATCTCACTTTAAAATTTTATTTTATACAAAATTCCATATCTAAATGTTTGAAGTTTCAACACTAAAATTTTCTTTATACAAAAGTCTATATCTTAATGTTTGAAGTTCAAATCTGAATTTTTTCAGATTCATATTCTTTGTATTCGTAGTATTGCTTTGATTTTTCAAATTAAAAAAACAAAAAAAAAAATTATCATAAAATAAAAAGAAAAAAGTACTATAAAATTTTTTTAGATTATACTTTCTTTTTTTTTTTCATCTGATTTTATTTTTTTTATTTGAAAAACAACCGAATACTTAAAAACAGAGAATATGGATATGAAAAAATCAGATAATTTTAGAGAGAGAACCAAATTATATACTTTTTTCATTGGTTTTTGGAGACTAGTATAGTAATTATATATAATAAGAGATCCAAAAGGAAGTTAGTATAAAAAATAGTAATTAATTATTGGAATTTTGTAAAAAATAAAATTTTAAAACGAGATAGAACCGTGAAGGTTTTTGAAGTTTCTTAATTAGGAGGCTAGTATAGTAATTATATATAATGAGAGGCCCAAAATGAAGTTAGTAGAAAAATAATAATTAATTATTAGAAAAGAAAACACAGGCAGTCGGGGTGACTGTGATTAACATCTCTCTTTTATAGATGTCTCAATGTTGATCTTATTGAAAAATATAACTTTTTAATACCAAAAAAATGTAAATAAGACTAATAAATAAAGTCACCACTTAACATCCAGTTTGGTTCAACCAAAAAATATAATCTTGAATTGATTGCAACGTTCATATAGAAGCTACTATAGATTGACCTACTGAAGTATGACCTCAGATATTTTAGCTTGTCGCATGGGAGGACAAACATGTGTGGTTATAAAATTCAAAAGCGGCAATTTCCAGTTAAGTCAGCATACCAAGATGCTTTGAAATTAAAGGCGGCGACTTTAGTCGCAGAAAATTCAATGAGAGGGGAGTGTAGGAAAGCTATGGGAAGGAAGAGATTGTGGACTATGGGAAGTGGATGTCAAAATGAATATATTCAAACCATATCATCACTCTCAACCATGTTAGTTCAAAAAATGAATAAAATACAATATTCACACTCACATTAGCAACAATATTACACATATATAAGTTTTTGAAGAAAATAACGGCCAGAGAATGCTCATGTCCCAATTTAAATCTGTTCATCGTCATTATAATTCTAAAATTATTATTAAGTGTGGAGTTGTCGATAACATTACCGTCCTACTTAGGTATGTTATGGTGCCATAATAGAGTCAGTTTTTTTTTTTTAATGAATCTGGTGGGTGATTAGATGCTTCCACGTCATCTGATGAAAGTGAAATTTTCACAACAATAATTACCGAAAAGCAAGCAAATCTTCATCTGATCATCATTAAAAAAAAAATAATTACATCCAACGATCAATAGTGACCCATCTGCTCTGGTAGGGTCAAAAACCAGATCATTGCCCTAAAACCCACCGCACAACACACTCTCACCGAGCCCTCTCCTCCCTCTCCTTCTCTTCCCAATTCTTCGTCTCCTTCCCCGTACTCCGTACAAGACCAAGATTTGATTCCTCATACAAAAACCCAAAACCAAACCCAATTGCTCCCCTCTCTCTCTCCATATATGTTTGCATATACATATATATACCAACAGTTTGTGAATTTGTGTTCTTAGGTCTATGTCATCTTCATCAGCGTTTATCTACAAATAATCTACGGTCAGTTATACTCTTTCTCGCTCTATCAATGATTTATATGCAGATACATATGATTGATGATTACTATAATCCCAATTTTCTTCTGAAATTTTGTATAATATAAGCAGAGACAGTGAATAGTGTTAATTTTATCATCTTCCCGGGAAATTTGTTGTTAAACACAAGTAATTAGCCCTAGAATGGAGTTCGAACCATTAGGCTTGGGGGGTGAGGTGATTGAATTCGACATGATAGGACTTGGAGATGATGCCGTTGATATTGAGCATCATCTCGTGGATGATGATGATGAAAAGAACCTCATCGAAAGTTGTTACGGTGGTGATGGTGGCGGTGTTGGTGAAATTTATATTCCTGAAGGGGATACTAATCTTGAGCCTTATGAGGGCATGGAATTTGAATCGGAGGAGGCTGCTAAGGCTTTCTATAATTCTTATGCTCGGCGGGTTGGGTTCAGCACCCGTGTCAGCATGTCCAGGAGGTCCAGGCGTGACGGAGCCATCATTCAGAGATCTTTCGTTTGTGCCAAAGAGGGGTTTCGTGTCGAGAAGGAGAAACCTGGGCGTGAGGCTGCCAGGGTTAAGCGGCCCCGAGCTGAGACTAGAGTGGGCTGCAAGGCCATGTTAGTAGTTAAGATTCAGGATTCCGGTAGGTGGGTTGTTTCCGGATTTGTCAAGGAGCATAACCATGAGCTTGTCCCGCCTGACAAGGTGCATTGCCTCCGCTCTCACCGCCATGTTTCTGGTGCAGCAAAGTCCTTGATTGATACTTTGCAGGGAGCTGGCATTGGTCCCAGTGGCATAATGTCAGCTCTGATTAAGGAATATGGTGGAATTAGCAATGTTGGGTTTACGGAGCGTGACTGTAGGAATTATATGAGGAGCAGTAGGCAGAGGACTCTTGGAGGTGACACGCAGATCCTATTGGACTATTTGAGGCACAAGCATTCTGAGGACCCTTCATTTTTCTATGCTGTGCAGGGAGATGAGGATCAGTGCATGAGCAATATCTTTTGGGCTGATTCTAAGGCGAGAACCAACTATACCTACTTTGGTGATACAGTTACATTTGACACCACTTACAGGTCGAACAGGTATCGATTGCCCTTTGCACCCTTCACAGGAGTGAACCATCATGGACAGCCTGTATTGTTTGGTTGTGCCCTGTTGATAAATGAATCAGAGGCATCCTTTGTGTGGCTGTTTAGAGCGTGGCTCGAGGCAATGTCTGGCAGGCCTCCAGTTTCGATAACCACTGATCATGATCGGGTAATTCGTTTGGCCATTACACAGGTCTTTCCCCAGACTCGTCACCGCTTTTGCAAGTGGCACATCTTTAAAGAATGCCAAGAGAAGTTGTCTCACATTCTTTCTGAACATTTGAATTTTGAATCAGAGCTCCATAAATGTGTAAACCTTACTGAATCAACCGGGGAGTTTGAGTCTTGTTGGTTGTCCCTTATTGATAAATATGATCTTGGGGAAAATGAATGGCTACATACAATTTATGCTGATCGCTGGCAGTGGGTCCCCGTATACTTGAGGGATACATTCTTTGCTGAGATGTCTATAACACAACGTAGCGATAGTATGAACTCTTACTTTGATGGATACGTAAATGCGTCAACGACTCTACAGTTGTTTGTGAAGCATTACGAGAAGGCTCTGGAGAGTCGCTATGAGAAAGAAGTTAAGGCAGATTATGATACCATGAACACTGCCCCAGTTCTAAAGACCCCTTCTCCCATGGAGAAACAAGCAGCCGAGGCTTACACACGGAAACTTTTTATGAAGTTTCAAGAAGAGTTGGTGGAGACACTTACTTTCTTGGCTACCAAAGTTCAGGATGAGGAGGCAACCACCATGTATCAAGTTGCTAAATTTGGGGAAAGTCATAAAACTTATTTTGTTAAATTAAATATTAGAGAGATGAAAGCAACTTGTAGCTGCCAGATGTTTGAGTTTTCTGGCCTTCTATGTAGACATATATTATCAGTCTTTAGAGTCACAAATGTTCTTACTCTGCCATTTTGCTACATCTTAAAACGATGGACAAGAAACGCCAAGAGTGGTGTCATGTTGGAGGAACGTACCAGTGATTTGTTGAATAGTTGTCGAGAGTCTCTTACAGTTAGATACAATAATCTTCGTCACGAGGCCCTCAAGTATGTAGATGAAGGTGTGAATACTGCTGACATTTACAATGTGGCAATGGATGCTCTAAGAGAAGCCACAAATAAAGTTGCTAATGCAAAAAAGAATGATGGGAGAATTGCTAATGGCAATGGGTCTAGCAAAGAATACCGTGCCGCTCATGAAAGTAATGCAAATGATACTCATGGGGCTCATCAATGGAGTGTGGAACAACCTCTATCTACAGTGAGTTGTTTGTTGTTTCAATTGTTCAATTAGTTGCTTCTTTATTCTATTTTTTCTTTTTAAAGGTTTTTTAGCAATATTACTTAATTCTTATTTATGTTGTTCTAATAGCATCTGATATGCTTTTAGATTTTTGTACATATTTCAAATTAAATTCACTGAATAAAAATTTCCTAAATGAGTCCAAAGTGATAAAAGCTAGACTTCCATTTGTCAGCAACTGTGCAGTGAATAATTATACTGTGATTGGTCATAGGAGTCAATATATATTTTTCTGAACTATGGCGGAATTATTATTGCCTTTTTGTGCGAAATGATTTTTAATGACGAGTTCATGTTCTTTTCTTTTCATATATATATAGATATAATATAATCTCTAAAGGTTAGGTTTGTCTATGCGTGTAGGTAGAACATACGCTAGGCAATGTCTTTTCAAATCATATAAATGTGTCCTGAATTTTGTTTTTTTGTAGGAGCTTTCACCAAAGAAAAAAAGAAAAAAAAGGAAAGAAAACCCAGTATCCCACCAATATAATTTTTAAATTTTATTATTTATTTATCCATCTATTATTTTTTTTGTAGGACCTTTCACCTAAATGGATGCTTTCTCACTCATTAACAAATTTTGCTGCAGAAAACCAAAATTCTGTCTAACTTGCAAGCTTTTCTCCTTCGGCAGTGCATAAAGTGCTTAAGCTAAATAAATAAAGGGGTCGGGTTGGGCAGTAGTATTCTACACATGTGGACATACTAATAGCTGAACATTATATTGGATGGTTCAAATAGCAAGTGATGAATAAAAAATAGTTTGGAGAATACTTCCCTTTCCCTCTTATTTTTACTCCATTTTATTATAATTCTAAGTTTAACAGTCCTAAAGTTGACGAGATGATTAAAGAACACTAAATTGAGAAAATAAAATGGCAGTCATTTCTCCCATTACTTCTTTTGGTCAAGTTGCACTACCTAAACTGGTGGTGATGTGGCATGGAATCTGGAGAATTTTCTGCCTCAAATGTCACTTTATAGTGAATTGGAAAGCAACTTATCTTATCTGATCAAGACAAACTCTTGTAACTTTACTGCTCTCTTATTACTCTCATGTGCTAAAATTTAGTTGCTCAAATCTTCTTAAAGGTGCTAGTGATCTAACGATCCAATTTTTATTTTTATAATTACTTTGAATTAGTAAAATGCTCTGCAACCAATATCGACTGTGACTAATTAGGTTATTATTGCAGTGACCAAGTTTGCTAATGCAGCATTATTTATTGTGCGGCAGAAATAAATTATCCAGATTCTTTTATAGATCATTGTCCAATCAGTTTATACTAATTTCAAGTGTCCTCAGTCTCAGTGAAGCTTTTTTATACCTGACAAAAATTCCCTAGTAAGTGGAAAAAATGAGGACATCTTCTTGTACCTGTGGAAGATGACTGCAGTACTTCCTTTAACAACCCCCCTCACCCTCAAGTTGGAGAACATGAACTCTACTTGTATCATTGTAGATCCCTGTTTGACAGACAAGTCTTTTGTTCTTGCATCATTAGTAAAATGTTCCCACTCCTACCGTGATTAGTAGTGATATTTTTCCTCTCTTTTTCCCCCTTTGTTTTGGTCTATCGTGTAAGATTTCTTATAACATCAAGATGGCACTTTGGAGCACTAGATGCATGTGATGTAGAGAGGTCGGTTCTAGTGCTTGGTTTCTTCATAATCTTGCATTCTTTGTTGTTGTTGTTGTTGTTTTTGTTTTCAGTGTAGATTATATGTACTTGTAAAAATGTGATCTCTGTTGTGTTGCTGATGGTGTATGAGTCATTTTTGTTACGTACTATGGTTATGTGATTCTGTTATTTCATCATTGTTTCTTAATAACATATTAAACATATTTCCAGGATGACCAGGACCGTAAAATACAGAAACTATCCCGTCAGCTGGAACGTTCACAACGAAAATGTGAAGTATATCGTGCCAACTTACTCTCAGTTTTGAAAGATATCGAGCAGCAGAAGCTACAGCTGACAGTTAAAGTTCAGAACATCAAGTTAGGCATGAAAGAGTAATAAGCCTCTAAATGAAAATGATTGTATCGACTCTCGTTCTCTCTCCCTTTGCTTTTCCAAGGGTTCTCAAAGCTCCAGTCACTTGGGCATTGATGAGAATTGTAATTTGTTGGGTATAAATGAAAAAAAAAATTATTCCACTCCTCAGAAGGGTTCCCCGCATATGGTGTGTCAAAAGTTTTCTAGTAACTAGGACCAGTAGGTTGAGCTATTTTGAGTTTTGGTTTATTCTAGATCTGAGTTTGCAATAACGTAAGAGTGCTGGAGTTCTGATTTACACTGCTTTATTTCAATGGACATAATTGGCCGAAGCAGTTTTGATTTTGATTTACAGGTATGTTCTCATCGAACTAGAGAAGTTAGCTAAAGGTCTGTACTTTTTTCTAACTTTAGCCTTCGTAAAATAAAAGGTCAACCTTGAAAATATCATTCATATTTTATACTATGTACACAAGAAGTTTCTGTCAGGTGAATAAACTTCAACAAGTATCTCCCCAATTTATCATTTTATGAATCAACAGTATGTCTTCACCTTCAGCAGTACATAAAAGACATCAAAAATCTTGTTTATACTTGCATGGTAGCATTAATCACTATTGATAATACTTATAAAGTCACAATGACCTGCTTATGCTGAAACTTTGTTTTGGACCACCAAAATCGGTGCTCCAAATGCAACATGACAGAATTGTGTTCACACATGTATGGTAGCATTAATCTGTGTGAGAATTCTTTTCGCCCTTATCTATAAGCTTGAGCAACCCATAAGCGAGGGCCATTGAAAGCCACCCTCCAACCAGAAGTCTCACTGCAGATACCCTAATTGATGAGCCACCGAGATAAGCTCCAATTCCTCCGAAAAGCACCAGAGCTATCGTTGTTACTACCACGATGACTGCGATCCTAGTGGTGCTCTCATTAACAAACATAGCTGCTAACAGAGGAACAAGCGACCCACAAAGAAACGCCAAGGCTGATGCAATTGCAGCCTTGTATGGGTTTGGCAGTACTCTATCTTCATCCTCCTCCTCTTTTGCCTCTTGTATAGTAATAATTTTCTTTGCAGCATCTCCTGCTATCACTTTCATCACCGGAGACCTTGCAGGAGAAGAAAGAACATGGGGAAACTTCCGGCCAGGTGTCATTTTATCCGAAGATGGCTCACCTTCACATTCCGACTTTCTCAGTGCAGGTGACACTGCAACGTTAGTCTCGAATGGTGGCTTAGTTCCATTGGCAGTGTCAGTGATATGAAGCTTGATCTCACCGGCACCATGATCTTGACTGCATGCCTCGGTTCTTGAACTAGAATTGCCAACAGCTGCTTCTCTCTCGATGTCCCTCTGTGTTGACACAGAGACGAACTCCCCAACAGCCATGCTACAAGCCCCTGCAAAAGCACCAGCAAGTCCGGATACAATCATGGACTCTTTGCTCTCTTTTGCCGCGCCTACACCAAGCATAAGCAATGTAACGGAAAGCAACCCATCATTTGCTCCCAGAATGGCTGCTCGGAGCCACTGAGCTCGTTGCAGGCGGTTGATCCTCTCCTCCTTTTTATCAGCAACATCAAGCTTGTGTTCGGCACTAGTCTCGAGTGTGTGAGGAGAATGCATGATGCTTAGTTAAACGAGAATTGAAGTGGTGGGAGTGTGGCTTTCAGGTGGAGGCACACTTATGGTGCGTGGAAGGAACATACAAGAGGACATTAGTCCTAGAAGATGGGGATCCTAGGAAGCAGAGAATCGATCATAGGTGGTGTCGTGGAAGATTACAAAACAGGTACGTTGAGTCCTAGGAGTGTATTTTTTTTCTTTCTGAATAGCGTATACCTGTTTTTATCCGAAGGTTTGTCCTCACTTATTCTCTTCAAAGTCTGTGTCATGAATGTTAATTTAATAACAATAATAACAAGAACAATAAAACATTGATGACTTGAATAATGTATATTGGAAATCGATTGATATATTCCCTCTCTGATTGTCTTGTTCTATCAAAAGCTGGCACCTGTTCTTTTTAGCCTTTGATTAAAATTGTTTTGAATTCCAGATTTACAAATTAAATAAATAAATAAATAAATAAATCTTTACAATAAATTGTAATGGATTTCATTGATTTATATCCTGACGAGTTTTAGCATATGCTTATATGCTATGCAATGTCCCTTATAAGCCCAGCTAATGACAAATCATGCATTGTTTTGCTTTATATATGTGTGTGTGTATATATATATACTATGCATTGCATTGTTTTGCTTTATATATGTGTGTGTGTATATATATATAGGAATCAAAATACTCTCGAATGACCTGGACTCCACGGCCTCACAATGAGTTAATCTTATGAAAAAAATCATCTCCGATCTCGTCTTACCATTAATTAATTGTAACGAACATCACTCACTGGAGGCTAGTAATGATGCGAGAGATGGTGTCAATACAATCATATGTAAATATATGATTTAGTTTGAATAATTACACTATCCTCCGTTCTCAAAAAAAATTAGATGCCTTTTGAAGAACTCGTCATTTTACAAATTTGCTATTAACTTATTTTAATACATTTTAATTTAAAAATTAAAACTGATATTTATATGGACAAAATTAGAATTTTGAAATTCTAAGTTTTTATTTTATTTTTTTAACATTTGAGAGAAATATATTACAAAATTATGTTTGACAGAAAAGTTGAATAAGTTTAGTTTATGCGGTAAATAACTAAATACTATGCAGTCTATGCAGAAGCATTATGAATGCATAGTGCAAGCATTGCTTCACATCAGAAGTGATGGGCTGTGAATAAAGAAAGAAGAAAAAGAATTGAAAATCAGATCAATTTTTTCTAACATTATTTTTCATTCTATACTTCTCGTGTTCTATATATCTTCTATAATATAAGTTTGCTTAATTATGATAAGGGTAAAGTGCAAAAATCCAATTGCTATATAAAAAAATATGCAAAAAAAATATTTTTGCTATTGAATATCTGCATATAAATTCATAACATTTGAAATTATGTGCAAATTGTCCCTTAATATCTGTTGACAGTTGACAATTAATTTCAATCATTTTTTTTTTTTATATATATAATTACTCTAAAATATGAAAAATTATTAGATAGTCATATACAATTTGACAATTGGTGGCCTAATCCAATGAAAAGTAATGTTGATGTTGAGATTTCTTTGTAATATATTAATATCCTCTTGTAAAGCTATTTTCTCAATTCAAGAATCTGGATTGAAATCAATGTTTTTGTATTTTTATATTGTTATCAGGCATTTTAAGTATTTTTTTTCTTTAAATTGACAAAAAAGTGTCCTTATTTGCTTAAATTGAAAACTGTAGAGTTTTCTTAAATACCAAAAAGGTATTTGTCCAAACTAGAGTTAAATTTGGAGGGCTTTGATATTTGGGCCAAGGCCGTATTGTATTTGCAAAATTGGCCCAGTTTGGTTTCTTTCTTTCATCCTAGTTGTGACCCAATAGCCTTGAGGAAATGTGGTCACATGGGTTGACCTACTATGGTGGTCAAAAGCCTATTCACGTGTTTAAGTCCAAATAATTGAAAAGTCCTGATTTCCAAATGCTAGGGTAGGGTTGTCCACAAATTTGACTTAGATTGTTTATTTTATAAATATATGTTTTGGAAAAATTAAAACAAATGTCAATCTATCCGACATTGACGAAGGAAAAAGCAACGAAGAAGATCCAAATCCCTCGATATTAATTTCAAATTCAACAATCTTTCGTACTTTTAGAAATAACAAAATAATTTTCAGCATAGATTGAAAAATACAGAAAAAAATATCCAAAAAAAATATTTAAGCCAAATTTAATAATTTTTCATACTTTTAGAAATAACATAATAGTTCGTGCTCTAAATAATAATAATAATTTAACGAAAAAAAAAAAGAAACAAGATCCAAATCCCTCAATATTAACTCCAAATTTAATAATCTTCAAAATAAAACAATAGTTTTTGACATAGTAACGTATAGAGGAATTTGGATTGAAAAATATAGGAAAGAAAAAAGGAAGGAAGAAGATTCGAATCCCTCAATACTTACTTAATTTTAATGATATTTAGTACTCTCGGTTTTTCACAATTCTTTTCTTCCTTCCACATAATGTGACAAATGCAAGTATCTACTGTAAGCAAATTAGTAGTCTATCAATAATTAATTAAATATATTATTTATATATGCATATAAGAGAAGTTGCACCCTTAAAATGAATAGTCACATATAAAGAGTTGTGTCGGTTAATGGAACCAACACATCTTCATGTATGAATTGAAACGGTTTCAACTCTCACTATCACTATATATATGCGTAAAAGGGCTGGAGTCCAGTAGAGGGTTTGTTGTAATCTCTTCAAACTGAGTTTCTATATCTGGTATGTCTTCTTATCAAGTTTATATATTGAATGCATGAATCCTATTTATATCAAAATTTTCTTACATGTGGTGTCAGAGCCTACATGGACTCTAATACATATAAATTTATTTTACGTATGAAATTTCCCTGCAAAAAATATATATATATATATATTGGAGAAGACAGGATGCTTATTAATTAGGACACTATTGTGTCTTTAGGTTTATAGACAGTGAAATTAGAATTCTTATATAAAGAAATTAAAGATAATGACATGTGTCTAGTTTTGGTAAAAGTGTACGGCATGTGCTTGTATATTATTATTATTATTTGAATCTATATTATATATTGTAACCAAAAGATTAGAAAACTTTTACAGTTCTCATGATAGACACGGGATAAACTTTGTGACAAAGAAACTGATATATATATATATATATATATATAAAGAAGCCCAACACGGTCGGTAATCAATTAGGATTTTCTCCTAGTGGTGTCAGTTTACGAATGATACTCACTAACCATCACGCTATATATATAATATATGTGCACATGCATGTACTGAAATATGATATATATATATATATATATATATATATATATATATATATATATGAGATAGAAAACAACGTGAATGTCATTCGGTGTTCATGGGACAACAACGTCTTTGGTGTTTATGACAACGTGAATATTTCCTATTTAATTAATTTATGTTAACATGCTGATTGTGATTGTGGAGGGTATGCACTATTGACATGCTGATGGCAACAATCTGAATATTTTCCATGTATGGTTAACGTGCTGATGGTTGTGAAAAGCTTATAGCAATTCTATCTTTACTGTTATAATGGTTGTTTTAAAAGAAACTGCATGTTCTGATTCAATTATATTTTTAACCATTTGCATCGTTTAAGTGAATGGTTATTTTATAGAATCATGTATGTATCCATATAATGTTATACAGTAACGTGAATTTTCATACATATTACGTTAGATACATAACGTGAATCTGGATTCTTTGATATCATACATATCACGTTAGATAGGAACATAAATCTTTGACATTAATGTACTAGTGTTACTGTCAATAATATCCATATGAATAACTAATATTCATGTACGACTGTTTATGATAGTTGTAAGGGATACAACGTACCATGACATGTTTTATTTTGGGTCACAAATGTTGATTCGATATATATATATATATATATATATATATATATATATATATATATATATATATATGTTGTAAGAAATTTTAATAATAAATAAACTCACGGATCTAAATGCATAAACTTGATAAGAAGACATACCAGATACATAAACTCTTTTTGAAGAGAATTATCACATACCAAATATGGAAACTCAGTTTGGAGAGAACTATAGTGGAAACGATCTTCAACCTTCTCCTGCAAAACTGGATGATGGACTCTAGGATTTCATTTGCTTATATAGTGAGGGTTGGGACCGTTTCAATATTTACTCGAAGAGATGTGTTGGTTCCATCAACCGACACAACTCTTTATATACATACGTGACACAACTCTCTATATACATACGTGACTATTCATTCAAATTTGTAGCACCTTTAATGATTAATATGGTGTGTAACACCTATATTAAATACATAGATAACTGTATATTAATTAATTGTAGTTAGACTATTATTTTTGCTTACATTCTCCTACTTAGCCTAACAATAATTAATTCCATCACTTCAATATCAAAATGATCATAAGTGTACTCCAGAAGTAAATCCATATATATTTATAAGAAACACCTCTATCATTTAATTTGAAGTACCTTCGAGTATACTAATATTGGAATCAAGGGCGTCATTTTTCAGTAGTGATATAAGACACTAATGGTCACTGATACTAACAAACTCAACTCCAAAGTCACATATATATCGTATGTGCATATATTCAACTTAATATTCATGTCATGCATTGGTCCTTCCGTCTCAAAACTGGACACTTGAGTCATAAATTTTTCCTACACATATGCACTAATATGGAAAATCTAATAAATGAGGATAATAATTGTGATCACAAAATAAAATTGTCTTTACCTGAACCAAATATAACCTCCCACTAATTAAATAAATTAATGTTGTCAAAGAGAAATATGCATGCTTACTATACAACATTAGCGGCAAACCCTTAGTCATGAGATCAACAATCTTTGTTGTATACTAATGTGCTCAACAAACATTAACTAGTTCTAAATCTTCTATTTCACAATAAGGTATTAAAGTTCATATTTTAGACCAACTTGAACTTTTGTTGTTTCTTTAATACAAAATTGTAGCGGAATTATTGACCTGAAGTCCAAAACTAATATTTTATAATGCATGAAACGTGGCCTTATAACATACAAATAAAATCCGCTTCTATCACTTATCATAATAG